AGCCGGATGTGGGGGCCCTCCTGGAGCCATATCCAGAGAGAGCAACTGAGGCAACTCCCAGACACACGGTGGAGGAGCTCGTATCTATTCAGCTGTCGAGCTTGTGCTGAGCTCCTCTTCGGGTCTGTCTTTCAGGGTTTCACCATCATTTTAAGATCACATACGTTTAATCCTCTGTTCTCTGGGTGTCCCTAATCCGGGAACACCCTGTGGTACGGAGGAGGTGTTGGCTCTGTGCGCTGCCACTCCCCGCACCCAGCTGGTGGAAGGGCCATGTGATGAGCCACTTCCCCGGAGGCTTTCCCCCCACTCCCTTAGTGGTGAGGGGGTTAGTGCCTGGGAGCATGGAGCCACATGGGCAGCAGGTAAACGCCCATCCCCCTCACAGCCAGGCCCTTCAGCATCTTCCCTGGCCTGGCAAAATCTTTAATCTGGCACATCTGGTTTCCTAGGGTTGCCGGAATAAAGAGGTGTGTGTTAGATTGTGCTTTCAAAACTGGATGTGTGGGACTTCTGGGTCCTGGCTTCTCTCCCAGCCTGGCACCAGCGGGTTTTGCTTTTCTGCATCTGGCAGCAGTTCAGACTCCTACAGGAGCCCTGTGACCAGGCCTTGATGCTTTTAGGTGCCCTGCTGCATGGCTGCCTGGGCAGTGCCCTAACGGATCAGGATGGAAAATGCCTGCATTCTTGTGAGGAAGTGATCAGAGCTGAGTGGACACATGTATGCCCTTGGGATAGAAATGGGAAGCTCAGGGCAGCGCTTCCAGAGAGGCAGCCATGGCTTCACTGGGGGGCCATGATTTTTGGCTGCACTCCTTTCCCTTCCTGTTGGTGCAGGGGGTGGGAACGCAGCAATCCACACCTGGTGCGAAGCAGTTAATGGGTGCGGAGCAGGAATAGCAGCTAGGATAAATGGACACAAGTCAGACATTTTCACCTGCGGGCACTCACTGATGGACTTAAAAGTAGCCGTTTACAAAGGAATTTCACAAGCCAACCACAGAGAGACTGGGGAATTGGCCCTCGTATGCTAATTTGACACTCTCTCAAGGCTTGAACAAAGACTTGAACTGGATGGGCCATTATGAAACCAGCTTTCCTTACAGTCAACACCCCATTGATATCAAAAGCTAAGTATGGGACACTTCCAGCCCATTCAATTGGCCTCATTAACACTGACACTACAATTGACAGGTAGGATACTAGAGACTACACCTCTCTGTGGACAGAGAGATATAGATTAGGCATGTCAAAATTGCTAATGAAGCGGGGATTTAAATATCCTGCGCTTCATTAGCATAAATACGTCTGCCGCTTTTTTTGAAACAGCGCTTTTTTCGAAAAAAAAAAAAAACAAAAAAAAACGCAGCAGTCTAGACACGGATCTTTTGAAAAATAAACCCTTTTCTGAAAGATGGTATAAACCTCATTTTGAGGGATAAGGGATCTTTCGAAAAAGGGTTTATTTTTCAAAAGATTTGCGTCTAGACTGCCGCTTTTTTCGAAAAAGCTCCATTTCGAAAAAGAAGTGGTGGTCGTGTTTATGCTAATGAAGAGTGGGATATTTAAATCCCTGCTTCATTAGTAATTTCGATGTGCCTAATCTACATCTCTGTCAACAGAGAAGTATAGTCTAGACACAGCGGTACTCTTTTCCTCTCCTCCTCCCCCCTTTTTCTATTATACATTCAGTTCCTGCCCTTTCCTCTCCGCTGTGCTCCTCTGAAGAAGTAGGTTGTGCCCACAAAAGCTCTTGATACTGCACATATATTTGTGTTAGTCTGTAAGGTGCTACAGGACTACTTTGTTTTTTAAAGTTACAGACTAACACGGCTGCCCCTCTGAGACATTCTCTGATCCGACTGAGACTGACATGGAACCAGCCAAGAAGCTAGGAACTGCAACCAACTCTTTCTGGGTCCCCTTTCCATCAGTTCACCCAGTGGCAGCTGAGTCTGAGTCACTGGCCATTGGGTTTTATGTCCAAAAGCCTACAGGAGAGGAAACTTAAGGCCCTTTGACATAGATTCAGGACATCCCCGTATTAGTCGCCTCGGTATATATCCGTTCCGCACAAAAGTCATTAGCTACTTCACACTGGCTGTATGGTGCAGATTGTACTACACCATTTGCGTAGTAAGAGAAATACCCGCACAAAAGTCATTAACATTTGTAGGAACTGATGCATCATAAGTCCTCCCATTCTCTGCTTTTAAGTTGCACAAACCCACCCTCCCCCAATTTTCACACATGCAAGTCAGCCATGGGGGAAAAAAATCCTCCTCGTTAAGCTGTTTCGCTGTATGTCCAAGTTTTTTGGAATGTACCTTGGACTTGCAGCAAGGACGGCTTGTACTTTGAAGCCTCCCTGCTGCCTGCCTTACATGGGACTATGTTTTTAGAGGTCATGCTGTCTGGGAACAGACAATAGTTTGTTGTAAGTCCTAATGAAAAGATCACGAATAGCAACATTTTTCTCACCAGGCTTCTCAGTGGATTCCTGCAGTATGGGCAAAGCCATTGTTCAGTGGCAGGAAACTGCTTCACCTCAGACCCTGAGCCATCAACAACTGCATATTCAGGCCTTTCCTCCTCTCTGAATAGATTCTTAGGCCAGCTCTACACTAGACCTGAAAGGTCAGGTTAAGGCGCACAAGTCCAGCTATGTAAAATACATAGGTGGAGTTGGCTTATCTTAAGTTGATCTTGACACCATCTTCACAGTAGGAGGTCTGGCTTTCCTTACTCCTTGCAGCTGCAAGGAGAATCAGCACTGACCAGAGCTGCCCTCAGCGTTCGATTAGCAGATCTTAACTAGACTTGCTAAATTGAACGCCAGAAGATTGATTTCTGGCATGGCAAGTGGAGAGACAGCCTCAGAAAAATAATCAAGAGGCAGACTGAATTTAGGAAGCAGCTGCCCATTTTTTCCAATTTGGCGGTCCACCTTTTTTCTATATATTCTTGCTTTTCTGGTTCTTTACTTAAAATTAATGAGTCCTTTTTAAAAATGATGACAGGAAAATCCCTCTATGTGAAGAGACTACATGAAAAACTGAAGACAAAACTACCTGATGTGAGAGAGCTTCCAAACACCATCCGGCTAATTGAACCCCACATAGATGAGGGCAAAGTGCTGAAATCTCTCCTGCCTTTCCTGCGCTGGCAGCACCAGCAAAAACCCATGATCTTCCATTTTGACATCACCTCTTCAGTGAGTACATCACAGCTTCTCCTTTTGTGAAGAGTGTTTGGTATCTTTCAAAAAGTTGTTCCTTTAAAACTTACCTCTTTTTCCTAAACGAGGCATTTTATTAGGTGATGTTATTTCTAATCAAAGAACAGTTCAACATTGGTAGTAGGAGGGAAGTAGATAGGCTTGGAAGGATTAAATTTGTATTAGTAAATGTGGGTAAAATTATATTTCAGTGTACATTCATGCAAACTGATGAAGATCTATTCCTACAGTAATCATAGGATACTAGGACTGGAAGGGACCTCGAGAGGTCGAGTCCAGTCCCCTTCCCTCATGGCAGGACCAAATACTGTCTAGACCATCCCTGAGAGACATTTATCTAACCTACTCTTAAATATCTCCACAGATGGAGATTCCACAACCTCCCTGGGCAATTTATTCCAGTGTCTGACTACCCTGACAGGAACTTTTTCCTAATGTCCAACCTAAACCTCCCTTGCTGCAGTTTAAGCCCATTGCTTCTTGTTCTATCCTCAGAGGCCAAGATGAACAAGTTTTCTCCCTCCTCCTTAAGACACCCTTTTAGATACCTGAAAACTGCTATCATGTCCCCCCTCAATCTTCTCTTATCTTAACTAAACCAATGCAATTACTTCAACCTTCCCTCATAGGTTGTGTTTTCTAGACCTTTAATTATTCTCGTTGCTCTTCTCTGGACCCTCTCCAATTTCTCCACATCTTTCTTGAAATGCGGTGCCCAGAACTGAACACATTACTCCAATTGAGGCCTAACCAGCACAGAGGAAAGGGTTCAGAAAAGGGCAACTAAAATGATTAGGGGTTTAGAACGGGTCCCATATGAGGAGAGGTTAAAGTGACTGAGACTTTTCAGTTTAGAAAAGAGGAGACTGAGGGGGGATATGATAGAGGTATATAAAATCATGAGTGGTGTGGAGAGGGCTGATAAAGAAAAGTTATTTATTAGTTGCCTAAATAGAAGAACTGGAGGTCACCAAATGAAATTAATGGGTAGCAGGTTTAAAACTAATAAAAGAAAGTTCTTGACACAGCGTGTAGTCAACCTGTGGAACTCCTTGCCAGAGGAGGCTGTGAAGGCTAGGACTATAACAGAGTTTAAAGAGAAGCTAGATAATTTCATGGAGGTTAGGTCCATAAAAGGC